CGGTTTCTTGCCACTTTTGAGAGCAGCGTGGGATAAGGTCCTTGGTGTCTCCATGCCATGAGAAATGGCTCATGCTGTTTCAATGCTAAAGTTGTAGTGTGAGATTTGTAGAGATCTCTCCCAAGGGAGAACCATCTAATGCTCAACTCTCATCATCTTAACTCAGCAAAGAACAGACATGAACAAAGAAAGGTGTTTTCCTCACAAAGAAATATAAGTCCTCAGGCAGGATGAGGCTTAAATCTGATGGTCATGGGAGCCTGCATTCAAGGTCCAGTGCCGTCTATCCACACTGTTTGCTCTCAATGAGAAGCAGACCCAAACATTTTTGTAAAATTTGTCATGGGCAAATACCTTTTAAAACATGCTTAGAGATAGACTGAGACAATAGTCTTTTACAGAGCAGGGTAAAAACTCTCCTGTTGAGATAACTCTTTCTTTCTGATACTGCCTGACATCTAACATGTTATCTAACAGGTTTTTTAGTGGTTTCAAGTACTTTTAATTGCTTTTCATATAATCTGCTTGTTTCTAGTTTTCTGTAAACCATCTGGAGTGAGGACATACCATAATACCAAGGAAGGAAAGAAGAAAGAAATAACTACTACAACAACACTTGGCAATTCTGTAGGGCTTTAAAGTGCTCATGTGAAGGTGATTCACATAATTCTCTTGTAATTCTTACAGGAAGCCTGTAATTACACCTCGGAGGGGGCAAAGCAGAAAGAACTTGGCTTGCATGGTAGAGGGAAGAGTTGATCCAAAGACTTCCTGATTTGTATTTAGTCTCTTATTCACTACAGAAAGAAATAAAATCCCTCACCCATTTTATGTCTAATGCTTGACCAAATCACATTATTTATGCCAAAATAAGAGAAAGCAAATTAGGCCACAGTCTTACATATATTTGTCTTGCCCTTGGCAAGAGTCTCCAGTTGACACTTTGCTTTTTTTAAAAAAAAAATTGGTTTGGTTTCATTCTTCCATTTTTTTATTGTGCAGATATTGAGTCTAAGGTAGGGGTTCCCAAACTTTGGTCTTCCAGATGTTTTGGACTTGAGCTCCCAGAATTCCTGACTGTTGACCAAGCTAGCTAGGGCTTTTGGGAACTGAAGTCCAAAACACCTGGAGGACCAAAGTTTTGGAATCACTGGTCCAAGGCTTCAGTCTTAAGTGTGCCTTCTGATAGGTAAGCATCATTCCTTCTTCTGAGAATGCACACATCCAGTCCTGTATGGTTATAACCTTATAAGCACAGTTATTATATGGAACGTTGTTGTTGTTGTTGTTGTGTGCCTTCAAGTCATTTCTGATGTATGGTGACCCTAAGGTGACCTTATCATGAGGTTTTCTGGGGCTGAGTGTATGTGACTCACAACAAGGTTGCCCAATGGGTTTCCATGGCAAAGTAGGGAACTGAACCCTAATCTCCAGAGTTGTAGTCCAATACTCAAACCACTACACCACACTGGCTCTCATATGGGACTTAGGCCTGAGGATTGCACAGTTTATGTAGAGCAGGGGTAGGCAACCTAAGGCCCAGGGGCCGGATGCACCCCCCCGAGGCCTTTGGACCGGCCCCAGGCCAGTCCTGCCGCTGCCACCGCCACCCCCCACGATGATATTGATTATTGTTGTTATTACTTATTCTTGGGTTTTTCTTGGCAAAATCTCCACAGGGGTTTTGCCATGGCTTTTCTGGGGCTGAGAGAGTGTGCATGCATATTTTTAAATTTTTAATTTTTTTTAAAAAAATTATTTATTTATTTATTTATTTATTTATTTTTGGTGCTTCGACTCCCCAATTGTATGAGGGACAGCAACCCGGCCCCCAGCTCAAAAAGGTTGCCTGCCCCTGATGTAGAGGATTGCACAGTGTCAAAGGCAATCTGCTATGACTTGGACAAGCTATTAATAAATGAGGTTGCAAAACAGAGACATGTGGAGTAAAACAAAAGATGGAGCTGCCCAGATATTCATGCAATATTAGAAATACTAGGAAATACTAGGAAGATCCTTATTGCTAAAGCCATTCATAACTCAGAAGCAATAGGATAGTTACTTGTTAAATATCTCATTTGTTGTGGCAAAATTACCAAGATGGTTTCACTTCTCTTAAAATATTGGGATAGAATTTTGATCTTGATTTTTACTGAGATAGTATCTAAGATGTTGCTATCTTCCCCAAGTCATAACAGATTGCCTGTGATGTTGTGCAGCCCTTTACATATTTACTCAGAAGTAAGTCCCATGTAATAACAGCGCTTACAAGTTTGTAACCATACAGCATGTATACTCAGAAGGAATTATGTTTATCTGTCAAAAAGCATGCTTAAGATTGAACCCTTAGATCTCATCTGCACTGCAGAATTAATACAGTTTGACACCACTTTAACAGCCATGGCTCTATCCTATGGAATCCTGGTATTTGTAGTTTGTTGTGGCACTAGAGCTCACTGACAGATAAAGCTAAATATCTCACAAAACTGCAAATTTCAGAATTCCATAGCATTAAGACATGGCAGTTAAAGCGGTGTCAAACTGTATTATTTCTGCAGTGCAGATGCAGCCTCAGACACAATTTCTGCACAGCAATAATTGGAGAATAATGAAGCAAGGTCAATGTTTTAGGAAAGTGTTAGCATGCCAAGTACAAGACAAATATGTGTAAGACCGTGGCCTAAGTTGCATTCCTTATTTTGTTTCTGAAGGCCTTTAAGGACCACCAGTGTCCTTTCGTCTGGAAAAATATATTATTACATCCTAGAAAATAAAAATATTACTCAGATGCCAGATCATATATTGAAACACCTGGATGAACCAGCTCCCCAAAATGGCTTATCAATTATTGTTTCATCTAAGGGTGAACTATTACAACACTTCAAACATATTTCAGTGAGACATTTCAATATTTAAGGAATCACAGAGCTAAGATTGCCATGCAAGGAACATGACATATCTGTCAGTTAGTAATTTCAGTACAACACAATATCCTCCACAGTTCACACACACACATACAATCCAAATTTTATTTTAATTTGTATCTAATAATTGGCTAGTTTTTGTTTTAGAAAAAGTGAGAATTTAACTTCAAAAAATATGTTTCACGTACCATGTACTTATATGTATATGTACTGATATGAGTGCAAATCCTAAATTTGACTGGTTTCCCAAGCTCTAGAACACTATGAAATTCTTAGGTTTCCATAACTTGACAGGTGACTTGAAGCCACATACACACACAATCAATGAAAATCTGGTCAAAGGGACTTGTCAACATGTGCTTTGCGCTGAAAATCATGAGTTTCAGAAATTGAAAATAATGTTTCTCTGCCAAAAATTCTGAGAGGCTATGGGATGTTCAAATATCCCTGGTCAAGTAGCAACTGCAAATTTCTTGGTGGAACTTTAGAGATTTTTTTTTCATTTGCAGTGTTCAGATTAATATTGTTAAAATTTCCAACATTAAGTCACCCTCTGAAAGATAGATTCTAGAGGTACTTCAGTCAACTGAGAGAGAACGAACTATGGGAAGAGGCTATTCATTCCCTCCATCATTCTCTCATTGTTTTATCTTTCCTGTTTAATTTTGCAGTATTTTTTTTTCAGCCATACAACTAAAATGTGGAAGGTTGACTTCACTATCCTTTTTATTTTCTCTTAAGGATCTGAAATTATACATCCTAATTAATCTGATACCTTCACCTGCTTAGCTGATAAAGATCACTTTAACAAAATAGCCCTGGTGTTTTTAATTGCAGTTAATTTTAAATTGTGAGCCACTTTGAGTCCCAATTTTGTGGGGAAAGTGGGTAATAATAATATTTGGTTTCTCAGATTTTCTTACTCCTGTTCTTGCTCCATACTGTCCTCTCATAGCCATGAATGCCACCTTTAGTTAACAAGATGGCAGTCAGCATATTTATGTTGGTCTGGAGTTGGATCTATATAGGTATCAGATTTTCACACGTGGATCTCAAAACCCTTCCATATCATAGTTCATGCAAAGACAGAGTATTCCAGTAGCACAGGTCCCATCTCCTACTGCATTGATATAACCCCCTGTAAAGGTTTAGATCTTTAAAAATAATGTGAAAGAACAAACTGGTCTTGTCCCACTCCACACACTCCTTACAGCATAGGAAAGAGACTTGATGTGGCATATTTGCTATTGAGATTAAGATGCTTGCACTGGTGGGTGTGGGTGGATGAGAAAATAATCACAAGCTGAATTTAACATTAAATGTGCCAGGTACTCTGGAATTCATCACTTAACTATGTATCATTCTACATTGAAGTCTCCCTTGTTTGTTGTCTGTCTGACACTGCTGGGTGAGATTCATTTCTTCCATCCATTAGAAAGTGGCTGTATGATTTAAACAAACTATATGTTGATGATGTTATACAAAGCATTTCCCAGGATATTTAATAGAATGCAAATCAAGAATAATTGGCTGCTGCCATACTGCAGAATTAATTCAATTTGATACTGCTTTAACTGTCAGGGCTCCATTCTGTGGAATCCTGGGATTTGTAGTTTGTTGTGGCACCAGAGTCCGCTGACAAAGAAGGTTAAATATCTCACAAAACTACAAACCCCAGCATTTCATAGCATTAAGCCACAGCAGTTAATGTGATCTCAAACTGCATTAATTCTGCAGTGTAGATGCAGCCAGTGTCTTAAGTCAATGGCTGAAGTCCCTATTCTTTGTGGTTGGCACCTATCAAAAGTTAGTCCAAGTTTTAACACTGTCAGATACCTACTGGTTATCTAAAAATACTCAAGCAGTTAAAGATTTTATTCATAAACTACGAAAGCTACTTGAGAAATCTAATTGGAAACAAGGCAATGAGATCCGGGCTGTCTCTTCGCCTTTCCTTTTTCAAAGGGCAATGTGTTCTGTGATTTCTCTGTAAAATGGGGGCCATGTGGAATCTTGTTGCAAATACATAATGTCAGGCTGAGAAAAATTGACATATAGAGCAAAATGTAAGCACTTTTTTTTTTTTTTTTTTGAAGCCTCGAGGACCTACAGCTCAGAATGTTGCAAGATATAGCTTTTCCTGCTGATACTGCTGGAAATAAACAGACACAAGACACTCACATGTAAAGTTGCATGTACTGCTTGTCATTACCCATGAGGCATGCTGTGAAAAATAGAGTAATCATCTCACCAGTACTACTGGGTGAATTGCTCGACTGTAATTGGGCAGTGTGTCTCATCTTTGACTTACTGAGACAAGAGAGCTTCTCGTACAGTTGTGACTTGGTAGAAGCAATTGTTCTCATCAGTCATGTACATATGGGTTCATATCTTAGGTTTAGGTAACAGGATGTTTTTTCCCAGGATAACTTTTCTTCATTCTATCCAATTCCCTTTTTCTAGTTTACTGTTAGGCAATAAGGACATATTCAGTTTGCATACACTCCGAATGTGTTAACTCAGAGAGAGAACTGAGCAATGATCTTTTCTTCTCCCAAGAAAATAGGATGACCCTCCTTTGCATAACTCCCAACATTTGACAGACAGGACTAATTACACTTCTTTTATATTATACAAATAAGAGGGTTTGACTCATAACCAGGCCTGGTGACATGTGCCACTGAAGAATTTTTGCAGTACTAATTTTCCTCCAGTCTGGAAAGCACGTTTTCTTTTATAGAGGGCTTGAATTTATACTTTGTTACTGACATACAACATTTAACTTCTTGTATACATTATATATATATATTCTATTGACAGTTCAGTTATATTTAACTTTTTGGTATGTTTACTGATGGGCATTTTTATCTGTGTATATTTTAAATTTTGTAGACTGGCTGGAATTCTAGGATTGGGGAAAGAAGGGTGAAACAAACAAACAAACAAACAAATACAATTTCAGTCAAACAGACACATATGTTTCTGGGTATTTATAAATACATATATAGGCTGAGTTTCTCTTATCCAAAATGTTTGGGTCCACAAGTGTTTTCAATTTCATATCCATCTATCTATCTATATTGGATTTTGGAATATTTGCATATACATCATGAGATGTCTTGGAGATAAGACCCAAGTCTGAACATAAAATTCATTTATGGTTCCTATACACTATATACAAACAACATGAAGGTAATTTATACATAATATTTTTAATAATTTTGTTCATGAAACAAAATTTGTGTGCATTAGAAAGCAAAGGTGTCACTATCTCAGCCACCAATGTAGAAAATTTTGGATTTTTGAGGTATTTTGGATTTTGGAATTCAGAATTCTGGATAAGTAAAATTTAACCTGTGGCATTAATGAGTAACTAATGCACTTGTGAGAAAGTACTGTATATAATAAAATAATATACTAACAAGAATATTGAAGCAAGAATGTAAATAAGAATTCCTTTGATAAGACACATCAAAAGCCTATCTAGTCTACTTTTCATTTTCTAACAGTGGCCAGTCAGATGGTAATAGACATATTCCTAACAACAAT